TAAATAAATAAATAAATATCCTGAAGGAAAATAAATAAAACTTGGAAACTAACCTCCACCCTCCTCAGTGTGGCTCAGAAGCACTGCGGCAGGACCTGGGGACCCTCAGACGGAGGAGAGAAAGCGGGACCAGCAGATGGGTCACGAGGTCTGCAGCAGCTCGTCTCCTCCAATCAAATGAATCGACTGTAAATAGGAGCCAATGGGAGGAGGGGGGCGGATATAAAAGGCTGAGCGCCCCTTTAATCCGCAGCAGCAGCGGCAGCAGGAGTCCCGGACCAGATCCAGATCCAGACCCTCTCACCTCAGACTGAACGACAGGTAGGAGCATCCTCAGATCCAGGACTGGGGGGAGGCAGGGGGGGGGCTGCAGGGATCAGACTAATCCCAGGAATTAAAATGATGGTTTTAATAAATAAAAGAGGAGCTGCAGACAGAAGGACCGGTTCCTGGTTCTGTACCGGAGCCGCAGGGTCCGGGTCTGGGACGACCTTGCAGCCTGCTCGGGTGTTGCGCAGTGAGGATCTGCGCAGGATTCATCCGCAGCATCCCAACAAAATAAACCCAGAACCAGAACCGGTACCTCCCTTTAATGTCGCAGCTTTGATCGGACCAGACTGGTTACGGGTCGGAACCGGTTCCGCTCCATCCGGTCTGAAGGTGACCGGGGGGCGTCGCGCGCATGCACGGCTCTGCAGCCGCGCGCGCAGGCCCGCTGCTCCCGCTGCGTCACTCCGCGGGTCCGGAGCATCATAATCCTTTGTGTCTCAGATCCTCTGAAGCCCAGCCGGACCCCACCCCKGGAACAAAGATCCGAACCGGGTCCCTGCTCTGGTTAGAACAGAACTCTGGTTCCGTTTCTACCCTGAAGGTCAAAACCAGAACCACCTGGTTCTATAAAAACCCGGTCCTGCAGGATTTGGTTCTGCATGACTTAGCAGAGCAGCAGATTTACATTTTAAATAAACAAAACAAATATCTGACATAAAATTAGTTTTTGCTTTAAATGATCAATTTTTTCTTTTACTTTTTATTTCTAAAGACCTTAAAAAGATCAAAATAATGAACTAAAGTCATGTTTTGTAGGGTTTTAACTAAAATCATAAAAATCTAAAATTAAAGCAACAGTAAAAAGGAATAAAAAAAAGTAACACAAAGGAACTAAAGGAAACACGCGAGGTCTCAAAAATAGAAACTATTCAAATGAAAGAGAAAATCTAAAATCCAGATTTCAAAATAAAACCTGAAATCTTTTGTTTGTTTCAAACAGGCAGCTGAGGGGAAATCCTTTGGTTTTTCTTAATGATGCTCTGAATGATGAGCTGCTGTTAATTATTTTAATGATTTGTGATTTCCTTTTTATGCAGGTTGTGTAGAAATGTTCGTATTTATTGTACTTAAAATGAAATAAAATATGAAAAAAACAGATGAGGAATGAAGTTAAATAAACAAAAGTGGAGACTTGAGKAAATAAAGTTATTTTAAAATAAAATAAAATGCAGAGTGAACACTAAAGAAAGCTGAAGAGGCTGAAACTGAGGTGTTAAAGCTACGAAGCTGGATAGCAACTAAAAGCTAAAGGCTAATAAATGTTAGCAAAATGGCAAAGCTAAAATAGCACAAGAAGCTAAAAACAGAGCCGGTGTTCTGAAACAGATTTCAAAGAAAATAATGTGTTTTTAAAGAACCGAAGAAATTTTTCTGTTCTTTTTCCATTAAGGTACACATTTAAAAAATAAAAAAAAAGTTACAAAAATCAAAATTTGCAGCAGAACGAGCTGAACTTTTTGACGTACAAGTGTCTCAAACAGCCCAAAATATGCAGGAATGCAAAAAAAGCTGTACAGAGGAATGCTGACTCAGCATTTCTGAGTCACATTCAGTTTTAAACACGACTCAAACAGGAAGTTGGATCAAAACAACAGATTATCAGCATGAGACTAAACAACATAAAAGCCGGAGTCAACCATAAGTTTTAATTCTCACTTTAGTTGAAATCAGGAGACCTCTTCCAGGATCTGGACCTGCGGGTCTTGCAGGACTCGTAAGCGAAAAGCAAGTTGAATAAATAGAACAAAGACGTAAAATTATCTTAAATTGGATTTTAAATCCCACAGGAAGTGGACGCAGAGACTTTAAAACGAACCGACGCCTGCTCTCTGTCTGGTTTTCACCAGCCGAAGTCACTGCATGACTCCGAGTTTTCTTTTCTCCACGCTGATCCCAGGTCAGCGGCCCAGACGTCACCATGCCTTTCGGAAACACCCACAACAAGTCGAAGATGAACTACTCCGCGGAGCAGGAGTACCCGGACCTGAGCCAGCACAACAACCACATGGCCAAGGTGCTCACGCTGGACATGTACGCCAAACTGCGAGACAAGGAGACGCCCAGCGGCTTCACCCTGGATGATGTCATCCAGACCGGCGTCGACAACCCAGGTATGTCCTAACATGTTGGCAGGTCAAACGCCAGCCTCACTGATGGTGTAGGGGTGCATTAGTGCCTCTATTGAACAGCTAGAACCCTCCATCAGACCAGGAAGAGACAACATTTCAAATTCAATTCRAAAATACTTTATTGATCCMAGAGGGAAATTTGGTAAAATTTCCTCTAAAACCAAACTCCTAAACATCTACAGTCTTTGTTTTCAACCTGACCTGTTTCACTCTATATTCTGAAGTCCTGATTGTTTCTAATTGGATCAGTTGATGGATCAAGTTCTTTTCTGCTCGAAGACACGGAGGGCTTGGCTGCTTCTTGGATATACAGGGGACATTTGACAATGTTCCTGTAGAAGCTATAGAAAGAGCATTTGCCAGAAAAGGTGTAGATGAGACAACTACAAAATGACTCGTTTTYATRMTTCGGACAAGGAAWACATCTTCAACTCTGGGGGACTGTTCGATAACCGTAAACCTGAGACGGGGCTGTCCACAGGGAGGAGTAATCTCACCCGTGTTGAGTTGAATGGATCCAGACTCCATACACAAGGGTATGCAGATGACTTGGTCATACTTATAGAAGGCTTCTGCCTSGTCACTGTATGTAACCTAGAAGGGACTAAGTATAGTATCCAGATGGTGCCRCAAGCAGGAACTTTCTGTCAAYCCGAACAAGACAGAATTGGTTCTTTTCACTCAAAAGAAGTCAAAGAATGGTTACTCACCTCCAAAGTTGGAGGGTGTAGAACTCTCCCTGTCAGAGTCAGTTAAATTCTTGGGTGTCTATCTAGACAGGAAGCTTAACTGGAAAAGACACATAAATGAAAAGTGTAAGAAGGCAGCAATGTGTCTACACCAGTGCCGTAGAATTGCAGGTAGTCGTTCGGGTGCTACCCCAAAGGTTATCAGGTGGATCTACACGGCCATAGTCCGCCCCATGCAATGCTATGCTGCTTTAGTGTGGTGGGTTCGAGTCCAAGTTGTGGTGGCAAGAGTGATGCTCACCCATGTGCAACGAATGGCTTGCCTGAGCATCACAGGTTCCATCAGAACAAACAGCAGCCATGGAAGTCCTACTGGACCTGGCTCCACTAGATTTACATATTTTAGGGGAGGCCGCATCCAGTGCAGTAAGGCTACGCCAGTCTGGTAGGTGGAAAAACCTATCTGACTCACAGCACACTAGAATCTGGGACTGTTCCAGGAACTGCAGGACCTGGAGACAGAATGGTCAAAAAATACAATTTTGAGCCAAGTTTTAAGACAGAGATAGAAGACAGGTCAGCCTGGAGTTACCTCTCTACGACGGACATGTCTCCCAATCATTTCTACCGTTTTACAGATGGATCCCTTCTGAAGGGGTCAGTAGGTGCAGGGGTGCTTATTTTCATCAACCATAGTAAGAGAGAGAACAAATACCCACTAGGTTGTTTTGCAACTTGAGATATATGCAATCCACCAGTGTGCGGCATCTCTCAAAGACMTTCAGTGTACACASAAGGAAATATTCATCCTAACAGATAGCCAAGCTGCTATTAAAGCTCTCYGAGGGCCACACTTTACATCATTACTGGTTGGGAGTGTGCCGAAGCAGTCAACCAACTGGGGAGAGATAGTGTTACTGTTAAATGGGTACCAGGACACATTGGCATTAATGGTAACCAGAGAGCTGGCAGTCAGGCTCACTTCAAAGGACAAGACCCTGTTGTAGGTACCTCAACAACAGTCTGTAGGACTGCCATACAGACTGTTGTTGAGGTTGGGCAGTCCTACAGACTGTTGTTGAGGTTGGGCAGTCCTACAGACTGTTGTTGAGGTTGGGCAGTCCTACAGACTGTTGTTGAGGTACCTACAACAGGCTCTTGTCCTACAGCCTGTTGTAGGTACCTCAACAACAGTCTGTAGGACTGCCCTACAGGCTTGGATTAGACCTCAACACTCAATCCACTGGAGGGAGCTGACGGACTGTAGACAGGCACGGGAACTGCAAAATGGTCCAAATCTAAGGTTTGGGAAAGCTCTCATCTCCCTGACAAGGAAAACTCTAAGTACACTGGTYGGAGTCCTAACTGGGTACAATCTGCTCAACGGCCACAAAATGGTGATGGGACTCCATGACAATGGTCTGTGTGATGCCAGTGGCATTGAATTAATGACCTCTTTGAACTACTTAGACCACTGCCTGGCTCTGAGCGGTCAAAGGAAAATAATTCTTAGGGACCSCTTTATGGATCCTGAGAMGCTCAGAACACTGAGTGTCTAAMCTTGTGTCCTACATCTGAGGGACACAAAGGTTTGAATAAAGACCAGAGTCTTTTTGGGGAGAAGAATCAACCCACTTATGAGACCCCTGCTCATGTGGGTACTTTATCCGTCCCCACKCACCATAAACCACTGTGGGTTTGAGTCTGGCTCTGAAGTCTTTCTGGTCCCTGCAGGTCACCCCTTCATCATGACGGTGGGCTGTGTGGCTGGAGACGAGGAGACGTACGAGGTCTTCAAGGACCTGATGGACCCCGTGATCGAGGACCGCCATGGAGGATACAAACCAACAGACAAACACAAGACAGACCTGAACGCTGCAAACCTGCAGGTAAACCCAGACCTGAACCCTGAAAACCTGCAGGTAAACCCAGACCTGAACCCTGAA